AAATCAAAAGAAAATCAGAAATTACATTTTGAGGGAAAAAAAGAAAGCCTGTTTTAGGAGTATTAAGACTTGCATTACTTCATTTATTTTCATAAAATTAAGTATGTTTTAATTAAGTAATGTTTTATTTTTTATTCCCCATTCTCATTACCATAACATGTCAGAACATTTTTTTAAATTATTTTTATATTTATATTTAAATTTATTTTTATATTATTAATTTTTTATATATTGATAATTACTGTATTTACTACTAATCTACTATTTTGCTTATCAGTACTGTTTTTTTCCCCCACCACAGAATACTCCGACAAATATCAGGAGATTCTAGACAGAGAAGACTACTTCCCTGATGCATATGAAGAGAATGGAAATGATTTGTAAGTAGATATTTGTAAATTTGTGTGCAGAATATCAAAAGTCTTGTTTGCTTGCACAACTGAGATACTATATCGTTTTTTAATTAATATTTTGAATTAGTTTTTTTTTAAGTTTTAATTTTGTTGTTGTTTTTTGTAATTTTTATTCGTTTTAGTTTTTTAAATTATAGCTATATAGTTTTCATAAATTTTTTGTTTAGTTTTAGTTATTTTAGAACGTCAACTAAATGAAAAGTGTTGCTTTGGCAACTATCTGAAATAAGTTTAGTTTTTAATTTATATTTGATTTTATTTCAGTTCAAATGCTTTTTTATGGTTTTAGTTTTAGTTGACTCTAATACCCCTCTGCTCGAACTCCAGTAATTGTCCTCCTCACAATGATGCTGGGGGGAGTCAAAGAGCACATTTTAATGAAGTCAGCAGTCTAGGGAGAGAGGGGGGCTTAGCTATTCAGCATAGTCTTCAGCCCATTGGATAGGCCATGAGCAGTTAACAAAGACCAGCCAACAGGGGGAGTCAGTAATTCATGTGATGAGTTTTAAAATAACTTTTTCTATTTAATACAATACACATTATGACAGGAAAAAAAATAGTTGAAATAAGGCACTTATAATGAAGGAATGCATGAACATAATTAGAAATTCATAGTCTCACAGTATAGTAATACACTGTTAAGGCCGTTTCACACTGAGCGCAATGCGAAAAAGCGAGGCGAATCGCCGACGAACGTTGCTTTCACACCGAGCACGAAATGATTGATCGCCTTCTGCTAATTCACACCTGCACGCTAGGTGGTGCCGACCACCAATGCATTTTTACTCAGATATTTATCTCATATATGGATTTAACATCATCCACTGCTCAATATACAGCATTAAATATAGCTAAAGTTTGGTTCTACGCCAGAAACACAAACTATCTATAATGCTTACAAGAAAACATCTTAAAATATAAGTACAATTAGCATCAAGCCACATTTGAAAATTAATGATTATTGTTTTCGCTTAAAACCGACTATAAACCATCATCGAGTGCTTGTAATAACTTCTGATTGTGATCTGTAGTTGATTTTGATTCTATAATAGGCAGACATGCACTCTTTGTAGGCTATGTTTAATAACGCCACACTGCTTATTGTCATAAACATCCTTTATTGTTATAAAATTACCATGAGCTGCATACAAAACACATACAGAAAATATATCGTCATAATCATATGTCTATTTGCTTTCATATTTCATATGTAGAAAAAATGCACGTTTCACTCGTTTTTTTTTAAACACGGAGCAGTGTTTAGAGCAGTGTTTCTCAACCAGGGACCTCTAGTGGTCCTTGACGTAAGGCCAGGGGGTCCGAATAAAGTATGAATTTTTGTATAAATTTTGTATATTTTGACATGACATGTTCCCATGAAAGAAAAATCCAATATAGCTGATGATATGGCCAAATACTGGACAAGTCAACTAACTTAAATTATACTTGACTGCATTTGGTCCTCACATGATTGGACGGCCCGTTTCATCGTGGAGCGATGGGGAAAAAATCGACACACAGGAAATAAAAAAAAATCCTCGCTTTTTCACACCGCGAATGATCGCGCCTGGTGTGAATATCCCCATAGGTACCTATTGTTTCAATTCAAAAGCGTCATCGCGCCGAATTTTTACTTTGTGTGAAAAGCCCTTTATATTGATGATTTTAGACAGATTTAATAGATACAGATTTAAAGAAAAGTTAATGTAAATATATAAGCTATTGCTTACTTTATTTACTTATTTACTTATTACTTTTTTTTCAGTAACATTTTCATGTATTTAAAAGAAGATCTCTTATGCTCACCAAGGCTGCATTTATTTGATTAAAATACAGTAAAAACATATTTGGAAGTATTATTACTATTTTAAAGTAAGAAAAGCAGCCATGACCAGTTTAATGCATCCTTGCTCGATAAAAGTACTTTCTGTGTTCAATACAAGATGACAGAAAATATATTTTTTAAATATTTATTAAACAAAATTACACGGGTAAGTGCGACTTTTTGTCACAATTCAGATTTCATTCTTGCAATTCTGATATATACCTGCAATTCTCATTTTTTTTTTTTTTTTTTTTTTTTTTTTTTTTTTTTTTTTTTTTTTTTTTTTTTTTTTTTTTTTTTTTTTTTTACTCTTTTCTCACAATTCTGTTTGTTTTTTTTTCTTTCCACCACGGCATAAAAAAGCAATTGACTTTTTATCTTACAATACTGACTTTTTTTCTCAGAATTCTAAGTTTATATTTATAATTTTGAGTTGATCTTTCACAATTTTGACTTTTTTCCCACACAATTGCAAGAAAATTCAAAATGGTGAGATATACAGGTGCATCTCAATAAATTAGAATGTCGTGGAAAAGTTCATTTATTTCAGTTATTCAACTCAAATTGTGAAACTCATGTATTAAATAAATTCAATGCATATGCATACAGACTGAAGTAGTTTAAGTCTTTGGTTCTTTTAATTGTGATGATTTTGGCTCACATTTAACAAAAACCCACCAATTATAAATGAACTTTTCCACGACATTCTAATTTATTGAGATGCACCTGTATACTCAGAATGTCAAGGAAAAAAGTCAGAATTGTGAGATAAAAAGTCACATTTTTTATTTATTTATTTATTTTAATTGTGTGTTGGAAACAAGCTTCCATATACTTACGAAGGAATGCTTCTGTGTTGCAGTTTCTGCGGTGATGAAGACGAAATGGATCCGGAGATCGAGGAGGCATTTGAGAGGTTTTGCATGGAGTCGGACGCAAGAGGAAAGAAATAAGCGACTGCGAGATGCTCATTTTAACGCCACACCCGACCAGCTGGAATGTTTCAGAGTGGGCGGAACCAAGAACGTTTTGGTTGATTTTCGTTTAATTTCTCAACAAGCACTTCTTGGCTACAATGCCACTGGATTTAATGGCTGGGATTACTGTTTAGGTGTAATGCAGCATAATTGGCAAGTCCGTCAGGCCATCATGTTGCCATTGGTTTGGCATTTGGGGTGTGAGGTTTATTTTATGCGTGTTCTGATTTGTCAAAAATCCCCAAAAAAGTTTGCAGTGAGATTTTAATATGAGCCGAAGAGTAGCATCATCAAGTGTACGTGTGGTTTGTTTGCAAACTAACTGCTCAATATCCAACTAAATATACGAGAAACTGAGTTTTGTGGTTTACTCCTCAAGGCTTTGCCATGTAGAGTTGAAGAGCACAGGGAGAAACACAAAAACATTTAAAAAAAAATGTACTTTCTCAGATTCTCCTCACACCTTTTTAGAGTATTATTTTCAATTTATGCACATTTTTGAGGAAAAAAGGAACCTTGACTTTATAATCTGTTTGGTTTTTCGAATGCAGGAATAAAGTTTCTTCATATGTTAAGTGTGTCAAACGCTCAGAACAGATTTGGGAGTTTACACCGATTCATCCTCCACTGTGATTTACAGAACTTTTCTCATCACCAACATCTCATGGATCCCGTATAAAGGAATGTTTATTTTACTATAGTTGTAAATATTATTTACTGCATTGTTTGCCCGCAATAAATCTTTATAAAAACACTGTCTCTTTGCGTTTCACAGGAATCCAAGTGACCTGCGGTGTTTGTTGACACTGTTCTGTAATCTGGTAACCCTTTCAAGCATAGCGTCCCCTGTTGACCAGTGAACTTAAAGCCTGTTTTAGGTCAGTGTAATATAAAATTAACCATGACCTTAATTCTATGGCTTTTGAAAAACTGACAAAAACTGAAAAAAATTGACAAAATTAAATTGGGATTTAAGAAGTTAAAAAAACTTTAAATTTATCAGTGATACCATATAGACAGTTCAGTATTGTTCTAATACAACTGACATATGCAACGAGATTTATAAAAGGTTGAATATCATGAATATCCAGGTCATATTCCACCCCCGAATAATATAAAAGACCAAGCAAATCATATTTGGCATAAAGTAAAAATAAAAAATATTTATATAGGCTTCATGTTATTTATAAATGTGCATATGTGCTAATACTGACGTAATTTTATTTTATTATATATGAAATAAAAAAATTAATTATATTTCTTCGTGAGATGAACTCAAAAAATAATCTAAATCAAATCTTGATCCGTGTTCATATTACTTCGGCTTGCCAGAGTTGAATCTTAACAGCAAGGGGGCGATGACTGAGCGCACAGATTTATGAGTAATTACAGTAGAAGAAGTGATTCATCCAATCAGCGCCATTCTCTTCATCAACCGCGACAATTTGCACCATGGCAACTAGTGACGGGAAGTCCGAGTCAAGTCTGCAAATCGGTTCTTTTGAACAGTCCTTTCAAAGAAACGAATCACCTGGTCCCTGACATCCCAACGTTTTCATCTAGATACACGTATTGTTTATTAAGTGTTTTTTTTTTTCTTTTCTGATTACATTTAATTAATACAGGCGTTCATGATAATTTTGTGTCCCAGTTCAGTTTGATTCAGTTCGTGTGTTGCTAGAGTCGGTTCTCGCATCGTTTTTGCGAGTCGGATCTTTTGAATCAATCGATTGTAAACACGATTGATTCAAAAGATCCGACTCGCAAAAACGAACCTTTCACGAATCGGACTACTCTAGCAACAACGATTCGACGCGACTGTGGACTTTGTTTGTGCTGCTTCAGTGATTTTAGTGTTTACGTTTAGACTGTGGCAGTGTGTAATTGGTTTGAGTTCTCTATTTAATTGTCTCGTGTTAAGTGAGTCATGTGTTCGGTCAGCTTTATGGTAATGTGTGTGGATGAGTCTGTGGATGTGTTTTACTCAGACGGGCGTAGACTGCAGCTCTCTCCCTGCGGATCTGAATTCATGATGGAGAAACACATGTCACCCTCTGCACACCCGCTACAGCCCAGAGAGAGAGTCAGACAGAGAACAAGATTCGCCATCAGCGAGTATAAAGTATATACAACACCTTTTCATCCCCATAAATATATCAATACTGTGTCATTTGTACTGCAAAACTTGTATCTGCATTGCAATTTCATGGAACATATCTTACATTTCTGTCTACCTGTATATTTGTGTGTCTGTCTGTCTGTCTATCTATCTATCTATCTATCTATCTATCTATCTATCTATCTGTCTGTCTGTCTGTCTGTCTGTCCATTTATACCACAATTATCTATCTATCTATCTGTCTGTCTGTCTTTCTGTCTGTCCATTTATACCACAATTGTCTGTCTGTCTGTCTATCTGTCTGTCTGTCCGTCTGTCCATTTATACCACAATTATCTATCTCTCTATCTGTCTGTCTGTCTGTCTGTCTGTCTGTCCGTCTGTCCATTTATACCACAATTATCTATCTCTCTATCTGTCTGTCTGTCTGTCTGTCTGTCTGTCCGTCTGTCCATTTATACCACAATTATCTATCTCTCTATCTGTCTGTCTGTCTGTCTGTCTGTCTGTCCGTCTGTCCATTTATACCACAATTATCTATCTCTCTATCTGTCTGTCTGTCTGTCTGTCTGTCTGTCCGTCTGTCCATTTATACCACAATTATCTATCTCTCTATCTGTCTGTCTGTCTGTCTGTCTGTCTGTCCGTCTGTCCATTTATACCACAATTATCTATCTCTCTATCTGTCTGTCTGTCTGTCTGTCTGTCTGTCCGTCTGTCCATTTATACCACAATTATCTATCTCTCTATCTGTCTGTCTGTCTGTCTGTCTGTCTGTCCGTCTGTCCATTTATACCACAATTATCTATCTCTCTATCTGTCTGTCTGTCTGTCTGTCTGTCTGTCCGTCTGTCCATTTATACCACAATTATCTATCTCTCTATCTGTCTGTCTGTCTGTCTGTCTGTCTGTCCGTCTGTCCATTTATACCACAATTATCTATCTCTCTATCTGTCTGTCTGTCTGTCTGTCTGTCTGTCCGTCTGTCCATTTATACCACAATTATCTATCTCTCTATCTGTCTGTCTGTCTGTCTGTCTGTCTGTCCGTCTGTCCATTTATACCACAATTATCTATCTCTCTATCTGTCTGTCTGTCTGTCTGTCTGTCTGTCCGTCTGTCCATTTATACCACAATTATCTATCTCTCTATCTGTCTGTCTGTCTGTCTGTCTGTCTGTCCGTCTGTCCATTTATACCACAATTATCTATCTCTCTATCTGTCTGTCTGTCTGTCTGTCTGTCTGTCCGTCTGTCCATTTATACCACAATTATCTATCTCTCTATCTGTCTGTCTGTCTGTCTGTCTGTCTGTCCGTCTGTCCATTTATACCACAATTATCTATCTCTCTATCTGTCTGTCTGTCTGTCTGTCTGTCTGTCCGTCTGTCCATTTATACCACAATTATCTATCTCTCTATCTGTCTGTCTGTCTGTCTGTCTGTCTGTCCGTCTGTCCATTTATACCACAATTATCTATCTCTCTATCTGTCTGTCTGTCTGTCTGTCTGTCTGTCCGTCTGTCCATTTATACCACAATTATCTATCTCTCTATCTGTCTGTCTGTCTGTCTGTCTGTCTGTCCGTCTGTCCATTTATACCACAATTATCTATCTCTCTATCTGTCTGTCTGTCTGTCTGTCTGTCTGTCCGTCTGTCCATTTATACCACAATTATCTATCTCTCTATCTGTCTGTCTGTCTGTCTGTCTGTCTGTCCATTTATACCACAATTATCTATCTATCTATCTATCTGCCTATCTGTCTGTCTGTCCGTCCGTCCGTCCATTTATACCACAATTATCTATCTGTCTGTCTGTCTGTCCATTTATACCACAATTATCTATCTGTCTATCTATCTATCTATCTATCATCAGTCTCTAACCATATATCTGTCTGTCTGTCTAGAATAGTTTACTGCTGTAAATATGGGTGCACAGTATAAAAATACATTTATTTTCTCTCTTGTTTAGACACTGGTACAGAATGCTTTGACGTTCAGAAACAAGTATGCAACTCATCCATATTTGCCCGAGGAGCTCATAACTGTGGAATTCAATAAGGTAACAAGGTTAGACTGTCTTAAAGCTGTAGTAAGGTTTGCTTTTTTATTACTGAAATCATGTAAATCCCGCTTAATTTCTAATTTCTGCTTATTTGCTTAACCAAATGCTGATTTGCAGCCGTCCACCATTGCCATAGCTGAGGTGGAGTGGCCCGGGTCTGACTCCTGCACCACTGGGCCGCATGGAGAGATCACAGTCTGCTCTGTAGTTGGACATGCCAAACTCATCCTTTCCTCTTCTGGAGAAGAGTTCACAGTGGAGTTTATCTGTCGGTCCAGCCAAAATGAAGTAGAGTCACAGTATCTGCAAGGGCACCAACACAAAAGTACATGTTCATTAAGTAGCTTGTTTTCAAAATCTGCCACGGTTAAGGGTTTAAACCTCTCTGAAGCCTCAGCGGGTGCTCAGATGGACCATCTAGGGTCAGTCGTAAAAGCCCCCAATACGGAAAGACTGGAATCAACAAGTTCGAAGTCTGGGAAGGTGGACGCGTACACCAGAGTGATCCAGCAGTATTCCCGAGCACTTTACCCACAGATGTGGAGCTATCCTCTGTCATTAGCATTCAAGCATTGGGAATCACAAAAAATTAAAATAAATACTGTCAGTGGTCAAGATGGAAAGGGTTTAACAGAGGGAGAAGGTAGACAAACATCTCAAACAGGGCTGAAAACTCAGCTTCCCAAACCTTTGCCTCTAAAATGTCCCTCTCCTCATCAGCACAGGTGAGGAACGCCAAACAAACACAAAATACATTCTCATGTCATCTCTTTCTCTTTGCCTTTATCTGGATGAATCACACACACACACACACACACACACACACATAGAAAAACTACAGTTATAATCAGTACTCTGTGTTTGATGGTGCCAGTATGACCATACTCAAAGTACATTAATGTGATGTTCAGATGGCGATATGACGCTGTGAATCCTGATTTGCTGGAACAGGAAGAGGAAGTCACAGCTGAGGTGGTGAAAGTGGTCTGGTGTAAAGGCATCATATACCGGTGAGTGCTGATTCATTTCATGTTCATAAATTAGCACCACTACCCATTGCATCATCTTAAATACCATTAATAGGCTAATAACTGTTTTAAGTCAAAGATAAGTGGGTAAAAATACGTTTTAGCACATTAAGAAAATTTTCTAGTCAAAAAAAAAAAGAAAAAAAGGAATAAGTAATTTGGAACCCATTTTTAAGGATCAAATAAGGCCTCTGAGAATCTAATAATATCTGACTGGAATTATGAGCATGAAAAAACCCTGACATATAGGAATGTAACTGAATAAGAAAAATATATTGTAAAAAATATTATATTATATTATATTATACAGGGCTCGCAAAATTTCAAAATCCCTGGTAGCCCTTCGGGCAGGCATTCTTCAGATTTTGGTAGCCCAAAAATAGGCCTGGGCGATAAAATGGTATCGATATTTATCGACGGTACACCTTCATCGATAACCATATAAAAAATGTTCGATATAGTGCATGATATAGGCACGTGTTATGAGTGACACGGACAGCACACACAAACACGAACACATGCTGAATTGAGTGCTGTGCCTGCCTGTGATGAGGAGATTGTGAATAAAAATGAATATTAGTTTAATTTAAAATAAACATTTGCATTTGAATGCAAAAATGGTACAATCAAATGTTAGGAGTGTGTCAGGGAGCGTCATCAGTGGTGCGCGAGATGCGGTGATGATGTAAGTGACGTTGCATTTTAATGTTTTGTTAGTCTAGCCCACCGAACGCGGGCTATGTGTGTCAAACAAATACAGTCTGTTTGGGACCTAACACTGATGATGATTTCATGTTTTTTTTTGTTTTTATCTCCTTCAGTATAGTAGATGGAGTGATACCGATGGTAGAGATCTCACCTGGTGATGGTTCAGTCATCAGATCTAATGGAGTTCTAGCCAATTACTTCACACATCACAAAGCTGGAGCTGCTCACAGAGATGTATGACATGCATATTTGGACTGAAAAGGTTGAGTGTATACATTTACTGCATGATTCAGAAGATGAGTTGATTTCTGTGTGTTCTCAGGCGGTGGAGTGTGTGTATTACCTGTGTGGTCTCCCACCTGATGTGCCAGGTCAGCTGTATTCTGTCCAGTCTGTTGTCACACGGGCCAGCAGGTGAGATGAGAGGTTTACAAGCATACAGCTCACGTCAAAAACCAAAATCAAACAACTGTAGACAGGATTCACAGGATAGCTGATGTCAAGCTATTCCTAAAACATTGAGTATCCCATCTGTTTATAAAGGGGCAGGAGTATCATCCACCATCAAGTGAACATCAACCTTGAGCCAATGATTCACTAAATGAATTTATAGAGTTCAGTCACTAGGGGGTGATAATGACACCCAAATTGTCGCTCTGCAAAATATTAAAGGGGTCCTATTATGCTCTTTTACAAAGTCTTGATTTTGTTTTGGGGGTGTACTAGA